ATTGGCCGGCGCCGCCGCCCCAGCATGCCCCGCGCCAACGGCCCGCGCTCTTTGACCACACACAGACGAGCCGGGTCGTTCATCCTTTATTCCGGGGCCCGCGGGCGCGGGGAGCCCCGCCGCCCCCCAGTCTCGCGTCCCCCGGGCCGGCAGCGTTTCGCGCAGGAACAAAGCGGGGAAGCCGGGCCTGGCACTGCGGCGGGGACAAGGCAGGGGGCTACACGTGGGTTCAAGCCGGTTTCTTCCTCACGTGCCGCTCAGGCGTCTCTGCTGCTGCCCCCACAGCCACGAGCTTTCCAGGACGCATAGGAAGACACCCCAGCCTGCTGTGAAACAGCCCGCCTCGTGGGAGCTCCCCTGGGAGCCTGCAGCCACCCGCCTGTCACATTGCTCCTCCGTTTCGCCAGTGGCAGTTGTGGCTCATGCCCTGCCCAAAGCACGGCATGACTTCCCTGCTGCAAGCGAGGAGCTGCCCCCCTGACTCATCCACACAGGCAGCAGGGTGGAGGCCACAAAAGCGGGAAGTTGGGGTTTGTTTGCAGAATGGGTGCGGCAGAGCAATGGGTTGTTCCAGCCACTCCAACGTGTGTCAATAAGAGCCTAAGAGTGCACATCCAGAGGAAGAGTTGGCCATCTAACCTCTGCAGGGTATAACTGCAGGTGCAGATTACCGGTGTCTGTTCTCGTTAGGAAAGAGACTGGGTCACTTCACAGAGACTAGTTACCTGATGCTAATGAACTTCCAGTCAGGGCTGTGTTCACAGCAGGTGGACAGAAGGAAAAGGTTCTCTTAGCTTAAAGCCATCTCACCCCTGGTGGAAACCTCTCCTCCCCTTCTACCCAAGCTGCCTTGTCTTAAACCTGGGATATTATAACAAAAGTCAGTTTGCCCACACTGCTAATTCATGCAAAATCCCAGTGCAGAGCCTAAAACAAGAAAGGCTGAAATTTCCTTCAGATAACAGCTAGCATCTCGTCCCTCCTTTTGGAGCTACGTCACTACTGACACCTGTGTCTGAATCAGCAATAAATCCTAAAGCCAGTTGGATACAACTTTCACATGAAAGTCCAGTCACCAATAAGACAAATTCCTTTCAGTCTTTCTAAATTCAGCTGGAACCTGTTTATACCCACCCCGTTTCTTTGCTGGGTTTGATGCTAAACTGGGACAGTCAACCCAGGACAGTCGAGAGCAATATAGGGACTCAACTTAGAGATGTCAAGGGAAACCCAAATCCCACCAGCCAACCTGGATCTCGCCTGGCAAGCAGAAAGCTTTGAAACACATAGGTGGAGCCTATTCCTGGCACTTACTGAAGTCAGCAGGAACACTTCTGTCCATTTCAGCTAAAACGGTCAGGCCCTGCTAATTGCAACATATTACACTGAAAATTAGCGATTCCTTTAGAGCCAAACCCAAAAGCCAATCTGATCTGCTTACAAATAAAAAAAGGTCACCCTGACTCTGGCTGCCTGAGCATGAAGGGTCCCAGAAGTACAGGCTTCTCAGACTCCACACAAACTGCCCTGGATCAGCACATCTTCATTCTGTTGCCTTCCTTAAAAATAAAAACACTGAACCATATTAATGCACAGACAAGCAACTTCCCATGGAAGCTCTCTACAAAACAAAATCTTTTACAGCTTGGAATCACTCTGTCTTAAGGGCCAAGTAGTGGTGATGGCATTTGAAAGGCCTGCTTCCAGAAAGACAGCTATGTTCTTAAAAAAGCCCCACATCCATACTTCACAACACAGCTACTTAAATACTGTCAACTGGCTGCTCTCTACATTCTTATTATACCTCAGCAAGACACCAAAATTACCAAATGCAACATTAGTTCCACTAACTCCCTAACAGCCAGCTATGTCTTTGCAGACTATGTGCCTATGCAGTGACATGGGGCAGGCAAGTCAAAAATTTTTCTATGCTAAGGGACTGAAGGGAAAGAAGCCAAAGCCTAACAAGAAGAAATCTGCTCGAGCAAGATCCAAATTCCAGCCTGCCAGAAGAGATCCATCTTCTGTCAAGAGCCCTGAACATTCTCTCCACCGCTAACACACGTGCTTTTCCATGGAAAGAAAAGGAACCATGACTCTCCCGTAAACTGGATTGCCACTAAAGAGCAATGGAAAAGCACGGATAGGTGTGAGACAAGATCATAACATAGGCATCTATATGTGCCTGGGGTGAGAGATCTGGGTTTAGATGAACATCTGTTTATCATTCACACGTGAACTTGGGGCTTTGAACCTGGATTATCAAGTTCCAATGGCATCTGCTAATCAGAAAAATTCATCAAGATGTAAAATGTGTTAGAATTAATTTGAACTTCACCAGCTTTGGTGATTAAGAAAGTGGCAACTCCTGTACTTTACTCTTCATTAAAAAAGCCCCCTGTCAATGTATGAAGCAGAAATGCCTCCTGGAATCATCTCATTCCCCAGCAGGCAAAAATAAGACCTATAAATAAGTAGTGTTTAGAGGCTGGACACAACACATGGAAGCAGAATCCTATCGTTCACTTCGTGAAAGGACACAGCATGGGCGCATGCTTGTGCCTCTGAGGGACTCCATCACCCACCATGCTCTCCGCAGGAGTTAAGAGAGTGTTGAAAAGAGAGGGTGTTGTCTCAGCTTCCCACACTATCTGCTCTGCTGCAGGTACTGATGTGTGAACATGTTGAGCTCGCTGTCTAGCCAGCCTGCTTTATTCCTGTAAGGAAGAAAAAGAAGTCTCAGTTTGACTTGCGTGATAGTCAAAATTCACCTCTCTGAATCTGAAAAAGCCCGTTCTACTTAGATGCTGTTTGAGGTAGGAGAGGCTGGTGAAAGCCCAGCTGAGTTATGAGGTACCAATGTCTTTACCGTAAACTAAAATCCATGCCACAGCTCTACTGAGAAGTGCCAATGACCAGGGCCAATCTGAGCAATTGTCTACAGGGCTGGAGTGCAAGGGCACATTCGGGCTTGTGTGGTCCAGGGAAACCCCCTGAATAATACAAAACCATTTCTCCTTTAGAAAAGGACATGGTGACGTGGATTTGCTGGCAGGAAGAAGAGATCTCACCTGAGCAGTTTTGCTTTGCTCTGTAATGAGTCCAAGACCTCAATTTTCTTATTCATGGCAGCAATTTCCTCTTCAAGATTTTCCCGCGTGAGATCGACCTGCTGACACAAGTGAGCAAATGTTCCAGCTAGCTCCCTAGGAAATGGGCGGAGGAGGGAAGAGAGAGGACAAAAGAAAGACTGATTAAGTACCAAACTCCCAGCAAAAACCTCTTCTGCTGTGCAATAAATTTGACTGTATGCTCGTCAGAAAGACTGCAGTGAGAGCACCTTTCTACTACACCTCCTGGACTGTGACAAGAATCTTGGAAGTCTGACCTCAAGGAAAGTCATAAGCATTAAGACTAGTACTTAATAGCACTCTGATATAAGCACTAGGGCTTTCATGCATGCTCCTGTTTACATTTTTAGTCCTGAAGCTAGGCCCATGTATATTGAACATAGTGAACCTCTGTGGCTGTGGGAGATTTCATGGACAGTACCATTAAAGCGCTCTTATTTAGAAGAGACTCACTGTTGGACTTGGTGGCTGCAGTTGGAACCTGTGTAGCTGACAATGAGCTGCAGTTTCTCGCTGGCATACTCAACAAACTGGCGCTTGAAGGCTCTCTCCTTCGCTTTCGTGGTCCAGGTGAGGCGCTCGTACACATAAAGGAGCCCGTAAAGGCCAAAAGAGAGTGCAATCAATCTCCAGCCCACAGCTTTCCAAACCTGCGCTCAGCACAGAAGAAAATGAGCATGAGTCATTGGCTAGGAAGGAGGCAAATGTCTCCCAGTAGAATAGAAAGCAGCAAATGTATGTTCTAAGCACATGCTGCCAAGACAGAAACAGCCAAGTAGTAACCCTCCCTTGCTCTCTGCCTGAGGAAGTCATCCCTCTCTGCTACTACTGCCCATTCTATACAAGGAGAACAACCCCACCTAACAATCAACTGGCATGTCACAGGTGCTGTGCAGACTAACATTTGCAAGGCATTTGGAAAACATCTATAAGTGAAAGAGATCTCTCTCCTGTTTGCAGCGTCCCTGTTTCTGAAGGGAAGACCACTTCTGAAGAGATATTCTGTCTCCAAGCAGTGCAAGACACTGGAATAGGCCTGGGGCAGGGATCTAGGTACGGTACACCTTCTAAGATCAACCTAATGTCTTATTTTTCAAAAAGTGGTCCCCAACTGTCAGTGCCCAACTTGAGACATCTTGAGTTTCTTTTCAAAAGCACTAAGCAAATTTAGGCCCGTGCGAAGCAGCTAGTATTCCCTTCGGATTCAGCTGGTTCAGGGGGGACGATGATTCAATTTGGTGATTCAAATCACTGTCCTGAATCAATTCTGATGAATCTCCAAATCAGCCAGGCCCATCCCTCGCCTGCCCTCCCAGCCCAGCAATGGCTGCTCCAGCTCCTGGCTGTTTGGAAAAAAAGAGCCCCAGGTCACCAGGTGCTGCTGGTGGGGGGTGGGTGATCCCTGCTGCCCAATGCTGTGTGGGGCACTCTGCAGGAGCCCCTAACCCCTCCCTGTTCCCCCACAGGTGCCCTACCCAGGCCAGCTCCAGCCCTTTAAAGGAAAAAAAACAAACAAACGAGAAAAGCCCCACATTCACCGCTCCTGCCAGCAGGGGGTGATCCCCACTACCTCCCACCATGTTAGGGGCTCTGCACCAGCCTCCCAAAGCCCCAAGGCTGCTACAGGAGTGGAGAGTCTGGGGGCTTTTCTTGGGGTTTTTCTTCTTAAAGGGCCAGAGCTGGCTCAGACAGGGCACCCGTAGGGGGGCCAGGGAGCTCGTGGAGAGCCCCCCCATGTGGCATGGGCGGCAGCAGGGATCACCACCCCCCCGGCCTGGCAGCACCCATT